CACACTGGTCGCACAAATCTTGTTTATGTTCAAAGCGGTTCGGAACATCAGCAGTCGTGCGCGAGTGCTTTTTCGCGTCCTGCCAACGAAAACACCAGAGGACTCGCACCGGTAATGTCCGAGCCCTGGGCCTGGAAGGCTGCGGGTGTGCAAGGGGGCTGGGGCGGAGCGCTGGAGGCACTGGAGCCACACACTTGGCTCCAGAGCGGGGGGTACTCAAGCGAATGTGGCGGCGGCGCGATTTGGCTCGCCTGGTGTGCATGGGAATGGTGGCAGCCCCCGGGCACGGCGCCGCGGGGACAGGTAGGGCACCCTGCCGAGCATTCCTATGGGTGGTGAGTACTACCAAAGTGAATAACAGTCCAATACCTAGAAAAAAACAAAAACTGACAAAGTGACGTGACGTGGCCGGTAATAACAAAACTAATGTAACAATTTTATATGTTTTTTTTTCTTATGTTTTTTCCAATTTTACAAACCATTACTTTGTACCAACTTTGTTCGTGCAATTTTACGTTTTGCGTACGAATAACGAAACCTCCCGCGGACTCGGCGGAGACCCATGCGGCCGCCGCGTTCCCTTCTCTCTTAGATCGCCGATATGCCCCTTGAAAGAAAGCCAGGCGTGCACCGCGGAGGAGGCAGAGGCAAGGAGCGGCCGGTCACGCTCCAGGTAACTTTTCCTTTCCTCGATTTTCATTTCGAGAGCGCTGGCGGCGGGCGGGCGCCTTTGATTGGTTTATCAAAGCACTGGCCTCGCCGCTGAGTGGGACCAAGGTCGCCCCGTAACGAGGCCAGTAGGTTCCATTTCACTCCTCTGCCAGGTGAACCGACCGTTCCGCCTCGATAATAATAAAAACAAATGAGTGAGGAGCTCCGCTAGCGGTGGCCAATCAAACTGACTGCGCTTGGCTGGCGAGGTCGGGCGGCCTGAAGAAGGGCCTAACGGAGGACCGAGAGGAGGGGCCTAAAGGAAAGGCCTAAAGGAGGAGCCCAAAGGCGGCCTCGCGCGCCGCCACTGATCAGGAGCCACGACCCGCTATTGATGTTTCTTAGCGAAGCAATTTGATTGTTATTACAATTTTTCCACCGTTTCACCGTTTCTTATTTTTACTTCCTCCAAATTGTGTCGCCATATTTTCTAAGTGATGGAACGGCTCGATGGAATACCCAGCGAGCAATCATCAATCAAAATCACATCAAAATGACGTCAAGTGACGTCAACGTGACGTCAAATTACTGTAAATTATTTCAGCATTTGCTCGCTGGGATAATTCACAGAAAATATAATTCAGTCGCTCATATCCCAACAGCTTGCATCTTATTTTGTTATTTACATGAACTAACTTGGCACCTCTCGCGGCTCTCGCCGAAAGGGAAGAAGAGAGGAATTTGTAATTTTCGATCCGGTAGCAGCCAGGCAAGTGGAAAGGAAAGTCTGGTGGCACGCCGCTCGGCGGGGATTACCAACTTCTCACTACTTAAGGCAAAGTTGTGGATTCAGAAACCGCTTTTATAGATTTGGCGCCGGAGGCTTAGCCGACTCGAGGAGGGATGGAGTGGAGAGAGAGAGAGAGAGAGAGAGAGAGAGAGAGAGAGAGAGAGAGAGAGAGAGAGACCGGAGGGGAGATGGATGGATCGCGGCTGGATTACTTCTGCAGCCCAGACGAGAGCGACAGGCCGTCTCGGTACATCAATACAATAATGAACGATAAAAGTCCACGCATGGAACAGTCACATTGCTTCGGCGAGTCACGTTCAGTCAGGCTGACCAAAAATTTTCCATCCCCAACAATGTTGTTGGGTTCTTAGCGAGGGGGAAACGACTAAGGTAATCCGGCTGACAGCCGTTAGGTAATCCGGCAGGGGTAATCCGAGGAAAATCTCAAATTATCCGGGGTAATCCGAGGAAATTTTGGGGTAATCCGGGAAAATTTTGGGGGTTATCCGGGGTAATCCTAGAGAAAAAGCAACGTAATCCTGAGGACACTCCGGAGGTAATCCGGGTAATCCGTAATCCGGCTGACACAAAATTTAACAGTCGTTTCCCCCTCGGTTCTTAGCTACACTACTGCGCCCGCTTGCTTGGCACGAATGTGTGTGTGTGTCACCCCACCAAGAAGGGTGGTGCTGTGCAGGGAGAGGCACGGTTGGGGAGGAGGGGGGGCACGGGCGACAAAGTTGAGCTTTTATCGACAGGTTGGGGCCGAACTGGTCGCTCACGTCCGTGAATACTAATACCAGGTCCGGGCTGGGCGCTGTGAGGAGGAAGAGACTAGGGGAAAAGCGGGGGAGGGGGGGAGGGAAGAGTTCTCGCGACACGGTTCCAGCAGACCCCGCCGCGGGTGAAATTTTAAATCCGCTATAAATCAACCAAGCCCCTTTTCCTTTTGAAGAAGTGAATTCAGCTATCGCAGTGCCCTTGAAGTTGAAGTTCAGCCGCCGGCGTCGTCACCACGTTCTCGAGGTCGCGCGCTGTCCGCCGTCCGCGGTAGCCTCGTCAGAAAGGAGATTGCAGGCTCACCTCACTCTGGGGAGGCCCTTGCTCCCCCGTGTGTGTGTGTGTGTGTGTGTGTGTGTGTGTGTGTGCCACCCACCCACCCTGCGCCCCCTTCCCTTCAGACGGGCCGGTCGGCCTGTCCGGCGCTGTCCAGGGGCCCGTCCGAGAGGCGGGGATGCACTTCGCCACGCTAGGGAGAGCACGCTCTGCATGGCGATGAAAGAG